AAAAATTAAATTCAAATGTGAAAGAGTAGAATAAAATGTATTTAAAAGTTCACCTAATACCTTTAAAAAATCAGTTATCCTTACTTAAAATTGGTATCTAACAGCTCATGTAACAATTAAAAATTCCAGCCATCCTTATTAATGTTTTTATTCCATCTACCCAGTTTTTCCTCTTCCTTCTGTATTTCTTCCTCTTGCTTTACCCATTGTGTCTCTGCTTCTTTTCCCCCTTGCTGACCTACCATAAATACCTCCATATATTTACTATTTCCCTTCTTAAACACCGTCTTATCTGCTTTTCCTCTTTCTTTTGAACTATTTTAGGCCCATTTGCCTGGGCTCAATCTTCTCAGGTTAGAGACTACACTGCATGGGATGGTTTTCAGACTCATACTCCACCCCTGGCCATGTGGCATTGCAAGGGCTGCTGGTGTAGGGTGCCCAGGTCATGCTGCTGTCAGCACACAAGGCTGGCTATTGGTTCAGGAGGACCACCTGTACATGCTGGTTTCCTTCAGCACACCGGTAGGGAAGGAACCCTTCTACTTGACCTGAACAAGCTGTGAGAGATGATGTTGTGGGTTACCCTGACCCTACAGATACAAGAGTTGAGTCTCAGGATCCAATTGTGAGATTTACTTATTCTCCCAGTATGTGCCCTGTCCTAGCTCTGGTTTAGTTTTATCTTCTCAAACTTGTTCTGCACCTCATGGATTGTCTCACAAAAAGGCACAGCTTTAAGCTACAACACACAACAAGCCCTCTGTTACTGTGTGTTTCTGCAGGGACACAGGCAGCATCTTTTCTGGGACCCTTGGAGAGAGACTTATCCCTCCCAAAGTCTGGCGTGTATCTTGTACATGGGAATTTCAGCAATTTGCTAATGGACATGATAGGAAAGGGGGAAAGTCTGTGGTCATGCCTGTCATCCCAGCTTCAGGACCACAAACAACACAGGCATTTAAGCTACCATCTCTGCTTTGCAGGGATACAGAGACACCAAAGCTGGCACTTGCCTACCAAGCTGAATCCTTGTAGAGCCTTGCTAGTTTTCAAAAAGTTGCCTGGAACTGGACAGAGGAGGTAAAACTCCTCTTCAGGTTGACCAGAATTAAGTATCCTGTTTCTTATATCCAGCCCTCCCAGTAAAAACCCTTGCACACTTGTGAATGCAAGCACAATGCTACTCGCCACACTACTTTGTAGGCAACAGCCTCAAGTGGCAGTTTTCACGAATATATGCATATGCTCAAGTACACCAAGCCCTCATGATCAGACTCAGTGAAAGCCCTGATAGTTTGTCTATTTCTGGTATGTCCAAGTAACCTATCACCATGGCAGCTAAGTAGAGAGGAGAAAATGATGAAGACCAGAGCAGATCAGACAGCAGTACTTGTTAGACATAACCACAAGGCTGTACGTCACATCCTCCCCTGCCTGCTGCCATGAGCCATTTATGATTGCTACCCAAAAGCTGTACAGGATGAAAAAGTTTCATTGACATACCCAAACTACACTCTTCAGGGTCTTACACTAGCAACAATGGGAAACAAGAACATAAAAGCAAGTCAGAAAGTGGCAAAAAGATATTTAAACTAAAATAGAAAACAAAATGTCATTGAAATTAGCATTGTAAAATACACCGCAGTGAACCAATCTAAGAGGAATGCACTTAGCTTCAGAGTGCCTCAAGCGACTTCAAAGGTGAGAAAATAATACACTTACAAGTGTATACAGAAGCAGCTCAAGGTTTGTCATCAGCACCGAATACTGAAGAGTGGGAAACCACAGGGTGGGTGGCAGTAGAGTTCAGCCTGGGCTGGGCAGGTGTAGGTCACCACTGGGTTTTGCGACCTAGGGCTGCGGCTCTCAGCCTTCTCTTTCCCTCCCGAGTGTTACTAAGCCCCGTAACTCCATGGCGGCTCCCCGCAGCCAGCGTGCTGCCTGCCCTCACGCTGCGGGATGCCTGCTGCACCGTGAAGCAGGCAGCACTGAGGTGGGGGGCTTCCTGGGGAGTGGTGGTGCTGCTGCTGCAGTCTGATGCCTTAAGCAGGGTGCATCAGTTTTAGCGTTTTGATTCAAGTTTACAAACCTCCCCAGTACACACTCTTAGTGTGTATTTTTTCTCACTATTTGGCAGTCTCAGGATAAGACAGCTGGGCCTCTTTTAGACAAAGTTTAACTGGAGGATGCATTCCAGAGGTTCACCCAGTATGATCCAGCTGCTACAGGAGCTCAGACTGCCAGAGCTAGTCCAAGACAAGAACCCTCACAGCACACACAGTGGGACACTGGCTCCTTGGCACTACTTGTTTTCTACATATACACTCCTATTGCACTGCACGTTTGCCCAAGTCACAAGTTTGGGGTCACCAGTATGCATATCTTGAGCAAAACAGTCATAGAATCACAGAATGGTTTAGATTGAAAGGGCTTTAAGCTCATCCAGTTCCATCCACCCTGCCGTGGCCAGGACCATTTTCCACTAGACCAGGGTGCTCAAGGCCCTGTCCAACTTGGCCTTGAACTTTCAAGGGTGGAGTGTTCACCACTTCCTTGGCAGCCTGTTCCAGTGCCTCACCACCCTCACAGCAAAGAATTTCTTCTGAGGCAGTTAGAGGAGAACCCACTCACTTCTCATGTACAACAGTGCCATTACTATGAGAATTTTGTCCACAATCAAAACCAAAGGTCAGAAGGCAGGTGCATCTCAGGAGGGAAATACCCCAAAAGCTTTAAGCCCTCTCCAGCTTATTGACTTGAAGTTGCACTTCTTCCTCCTCTTATATGCATTGACATTCACATCAACAGAAGATTAAACATGTTACTGTTATTTAATATATTCTTTGGCCATTTCCTTCTGCGAACATGTGATCTGACATCCAGACGCTTTGGTAAAGTACAGAACTACTTACAGTAGTGACCCATTTCTGTAAGAATCAGCCCCAGTGACCAAAGAGGTCAACAGTAGCATTTGTGAACAAAGAAGTCAGAAAATGTTCTGATCTACATTCTTGGATATCTTCTGGAAACAATCAGTCTAAAATTAAAATGAGGTTTCTCTTTGTGCAGGACTTTTCCACCATGCAGCAGCTAAAGAGACTGATCTCTGTTGATTACGCATTCAAATAACATGCACATGGAGCCTGAAAGTGCCAAAGGTCCTGAGCAGTTCCTACAGCCTGTGGTTTCCTAAGTTTCCTAAGCAGATCCGTCAGACTGGACCTCTCTGCCCCAAGTAGCTACGAGTCTTCAGACATGAACAGGAGATATCCTAACCCTGATCAACCCCTGTTTCTGCCTCTCTTACTAGGAAAAAGGATTAACTGGTGGGATAATCAGACATTGTTTACTCTTCTGTAGCCCATGTAGAGAAAGATTAAGGCCAACCCCTCATGGCAGGGGGGTTGGAACTGAATGATCTTTAAGGTCCCTTCCAATCCAAACCACCCTATGATTCTGTGAAGGTTTTAGTGAGTGGGAACCTCGAGTTCGTAAGCCCATACTGAATTACTAGATGTCCTTTTTTTCCTCTTTTTTTTAAGCCACTGAACTCCCTGTTGCTCCCAGAGGCTAGACTGTTGCTCTGTGAACGCATACCCTCTGATAATCCGACCTTTATGTCTTGAGCCAGGATTAAAAGTGTTACTGGAGTAAGAAAATTATCCTAAGAAAGAATGAAAAGTTTGGAAAGAGTTAAGAATAGACAACAGCACTCCTGTAATACCAACTGACTCAAAACTCCAAGCAAATCAAGAGAGCAAGGAGAAGGAACAGTGAAATATTAAATGCAGTTGCTTCTTCTATTTGCAGTTTAATAATTCAAGACCTATATTTATTTATTCATACTAATTGACCGATGAAGTTATGCTGTGGAATAGCTGAAGAGAAACTAATTGCTGTCTCATTTTATTTTAATAGTATATTAAAACGCAGGCTAGACTGGAGAGCTCTTCTCGACTTGTGCTGATGTTATCTGCCCTGAGACACTGGCAACTATCCAGGGACTTGCCTACACTGATATTTAGGACTAACCTTAGGAGTCAGATTAGGTGATTGTGTCTTTGGCTGTAAATGGACCACAAATGTAAAGCTCATTTCTTTTTGAGATCAGTCTTTCCTCCTTTCCCTTTATTTTTCTCACTCAGGTTCTGTTATCATTTGCTCAGTCTGAGCAAAGGGGCCTTAAATGGATGTAAATGAATTTTGCAAAACCCACACAGGATCTTTAATACCATTGGAGTAATTGGGGCTTAACTGCAGTGAATCCTGAAGCACACTGTCTAAATACAGGCATTCCCAATCATTTCTACATTCTCATAATTAACAATCCCACAAGTGAAATGAGACTCAAAAAATGCTCATCAGTTCCTCATCCTCCAGCGTTTCCCTACAGTTTCCATGCTGTCCTGATAACTAAATTGATAGAACTCTTCTCCGTGAGGAGAGCCTTTTTTCATCTCTCTCCCAACCCTTGGATCTGAGACCCCAAATGCACCATCCCTCTCTCTTACCCCAGCCCAATTCCCACATGCATCCAGCCCCTTTCATTAGCAGGAAGGTTGCTAGTATGGCTAATGATGGAGGCTGCATGCACAGCAGCTCTTCTGCTTGCCTGCCCTTACGGGGTGTGGAGCAGCCCTCCCCATGGGCATCTCCCCTGCTGATGCAGCATGAGGGTGAGAAGGGCAGTGGGCAAAAGGGCAGTGGCATGGGCACTGCACCATGGACCTCGGCAGAGGAGAAACAACGGAACCCCCAGATTTATCAGTGTTTCAGTATCTCATCTCACGTACATTTGTAGCTGCAGTATTATGCATACACCATCGAAAGCACTAGAGAAGATTCACCCCCCCCTTACCAGAACAGCACAGGGCACCGTCAGCAGTATGTGGTAGGATATGAGAGTCCTCAGCTATTCAGATCCCAGCATATAGGCTGGTTCATCCTATATATCTAGAAAACAAGCCACTGAACTGGAGCCCTGTCAATTTACATACCCTTTGCGCAGATACAAATAAGCTCAGAAGGTGAAAGGCAACAGAAAAGCAGGTCCTTTGAATGCATACCCTTTCATCTTCGAGTTTGCTAAGGATAGATGTAAAGGCTGCTTAGGATCCAAGTTGTGCATATTCCTCCTTTGAAGCTCTACCTTTCACCCAGCCCAAACTTTGCCATTTAGCACTCTCATTACCTTGTAAGGTCTGCTCCTCCCTTCAGCATTTAGTCCCTCTGCGAAACGCCAAGCAGTTTCCCTCCCTCCCCAGGAATCTTAATTAACTTTTTTTTCGGTGTGTTTGTTTCTCCCCTCCCCTTCAGACATACCGATGCCTTCAGTTAGATTTGTTTCAATGCTTTCAGTTATCTTTGATCACATTTTAATTTCATATAGATCACCAGCTGGCTTTCATACAAAACACAGTGCATATCAGAATTCGAGCATTCCTATCATCTGTGCACTGTGACATGCAAAGCTACACCTGTGCTGTTATTTTTGACAGAGATAGCACTGGCTGTTTTGCACTATGTTGATTCTATACTCAGAAAAATCTAGGAATGGCTTTAGTCCCTCTATGTACATTTGAATGATGCCAGATCTTCCTATCACGTTTCCAAGTCTAATACCTCACTGGCTGGACCGAAAAGGCTTCCCCAGTTCTTCATCATTGTTTGGTTTCCTTGAAGCCAACTGATTCACATTATTCAGAAAAAATCACTTCACTGGTTCTGCCTCTTATAATTTAAGGACATGGAGACCTCTTCCTCTTTGAGGTTCAGACAGGACTTGGGGGAGGATGGAGGTACATGGGATAAGCATGGTCCATGGTTCTGAATTTGAGATTGCTTGCTCAACAACAGCAGAGAGCAGAAAGAACAAGTGTAGAACAGTCTGTCCTCCTTCATATAAACTTGCTTTCACACATATCACTCTCATTTTTACTCATGTCTTCTTGCTTTTCTCCTTTGATCTCAGGGAACCTTGGCAAACTTCCCCAGGACATTCTCTGACTGGAGAGGAGAGTTGCTACCTTCAGGGCCCTATAATATCACCCCTCTGATACCAGCTATGGGGTGAAGAGTCTGGAAACTCATCCAGGAGACAATAATCTAAAATCCCTTCTAGCTGCACCTTCTGTTGGAAGTCTTAGCAACAACTCTCCCCCAGGACCCCAAATGACTGTTGAGTGCGGCTGGGGTGGTGAGCTGTGGACCAACTCTGTGCCCTCCCCCTGGGCTGTGCCCAGTTGTCCCATGCTGCAGCTGACAAACAAGGCCTCGACTCCCAAGTCCCCATGAAATCAATAAGCGAAAAGAGGTTATTAGTGGTACATTCACTCAGAGAAAGCGGATTACAAATTACCCTCATTCAGCACTTGGGAACAAGATTATTTGTGACATAACAGATTGCCACCATCATAATCCAGAGCCTGTAAACACTTGTTGGCTTTTCATTGGCAAATGCAAATCTGTGCCAATGTAGCTGTTTTTAGGTAGAGGTGATCACGAATTATCACAAGCTAACATCTGAATCCTTTTCTGTGCCACTAATACTGTTTCCTGAACGCTTTCCCTGCTAACCTTAATCTGAATGTCGCCTGCATCTTCAATGGCCTTAGGACTGGGACTTTGGGGAATTCTTTTATACAGCAAAATTAAGCACTATAATAGTAAGTGGAATTTTGTGGGGAAAAATTAATTCTAAACTAATATCAAGTAGCAGACCTGATTAATCTGGTCTTTGTTCCAAGAACCTGTTAACTGTATTGTTAAATGATTAAAAAAAAGTGTTAGAAATCAACATTTTATGGTATCAGGCATCTTCAAACAGTTCTTCCAGCACTTCATTCCCAAATCAGGAAATTTCAAGGGCCAGCTGTTTCCAGGGTGGCATCTCAGGGTTGTGATACATTGCAAAATTGCTCATCAAGAGCAAATCTCTACAGAGCACCTAATATTCCAAGTCATCATGTAAAACTGAATGTGAAGCCAGAAGTCCATGAAGGTGCAGTCTGGATGCACTGAAACCAGTGACACCAGGATCTAAGAAATAGTTTCACCACAAAGCTTTTGGACTGGCAGCTGTGCAAACATAGACCTTTTCCCCTAAAGAAGACTGGCGAAAGCCAAGGCAACGAAGTATTCTGCAAGGCAGTGTGACAAAATCATGAAGGGGATAATCATATTTGTTCAGTAAAACAGGTATTATTAGTCTATGAAAATGATGAGGTGTGAGTCCAAAACTGCTTAACCAAGGCTTTGGTACTCATTATGAAAATATCACAGCAACAACGCCACTGAAGGCATTTTCTAGCAGTCACTCTATGCTGCCACCTGTGCACTGCCCAACTCGTTATTTAGGCTTTGTGGAAAATTTTCTGTGACACCCAGAGGATGTAGGAACATGAGAATTATGTTTTAAGTCATGATTTAATCACAGTGAAACACTCACGTGGCATATGCATTTGCAGAAGTAATGGGCCATGAGAAAATGTCTCCTGTAAAAGTCCTTAAGAGGCTGGATAAATTCTTTCAGGGTCAGAGGTTCTGACAGAGTTATCTTCAAAAGTGTGAGCAGAGCTATCGGCAGGAGGGTCATGGATTGGTAACTCTAAGACAAGAGTAAAGGTCATGTTCTGCTGTAACAAGTGCTAGATAGGAAGACAATGCAATACTCTTACCCTCTTAACAGAAATTTCTAATTTACTTGCTTGATATCAAATTTAATATGTTTGTAAACCTGATAAAGCTGAAGTAACCAGTTCTAGAGAACATAAAAATACTTTAATTGCTTGCAAATTTTTTGGATGATGCACATATACATAATTATATCCGTGAATACTTTGGATCTCGTAGCACCACTGGCTCAACAACCATTTAAAACTGATAAATGCATATTTCTTATTTTTCAGAGCATGCAATGTAACTGATCCTACCTGGAAGCATCTCAGCAAGGAATACATGCTTTAGCCACCTGAAGGTTTTCCTAGCCCTGAGCTCCTTCCTTCTTGGCCTCATCCCTGGTGTAGCAGATGCCAGGACCCTCATGGGGCCATGACACACACCACCCCCTCTGTGGTGCTGGCTGGGCCACCATATCTGTGCAGCTGAACCAGGGCAGGACCTTTCTGCTGCTGCTGCCCAAGGATTCCCCTCTGGTGGGAGGTTTTTCCCAGGACCAGGCTGGCTGGCAGCAGCAAGAAACAGTCCCAAAGTGCTGTGAAACCAAGGCCGTAATATGTTAATGTGAAGACTTTTTCCAAGTAATCTTTACCATCTGTTGTCTCACACTGATGTTAGTATTAATAATTTATAGGCCTTCTCTTAAGGCTGAGGAGCAAGCAGAATGCTAATCTCTCACACAGAGACAGTATCAACTTTTTTTTTTTAATGAGATAGATGTTGCTCTATATGATAGCCTTGCACAGGGAATATATGGTGCTGTTCAGCCTTCCATTGATGTTGCTTTTGTAAGTCTTTTACTGAAAATAGCAGTGGCAAGACATTTATTTTAGTCTGGTTCCTCTGTTGCTTCTTTCCTTCTAAAATAAGGCATGCAGTCTATCTGGTACCTAAGCAAAGTGCGTGTAAAGGTCAGAGGCAAAGCATAAGCTAACAATATAAGTTGTATTATAGCATGCAGTTACTGCGAGACAAGAACAGACAGGTTCCTTCTGCTATCCGGGAGACTGTTAGGCTGAAGGAGCATAGTTGTGCTACCAGTTTAAGCCAGCAGAATCTCCTTGCTATATTTAACCTTGATTTCCTCAGAGAGCAACTATGCAAATCACAAAATGTGATACACGGCAAACACTGCTTTCATAAGGGAGAGCAAAGTTATAGTCCCGAACAATCAAATCAGCCTTTCCGACTCATAGGGCTTCAGTTTAATCCCGTATTAACAGGATTAATAGCAGACTTACAGTTCATACCGTCTTACTCCCCTTTTGCACAAACCAATCTAGCCGCTTTCACAGAGGGACAGGTGGATTAATAGTCTTAGTCAAAAACTATGGTGATAATGCAGAAAATCAGCCAAAGGGAGGGATTCCAGGGTGCAAATGGACAGCTGGAAGATTGCTATCAAAGACATGCAGGGACTTCACCCTCAGATAGAAATGTGAAATGCGTGGGAGACCCTTCTGCTTCTAAATTGAAAACCAAAACAAACCCCCTGAAAGATAAACAAGTACAGTAAAGGAATAAGTCTCTCTATTAATAAATGCTTACCAGAGGATAAACAAGTAAAGGAATAAAGAACCTGAGAAGCTCAGAAATGTAGAGGCATTTGACGAAACACAACTCCAGTAAGAAATGCAAAGCTCCAGCAGACTGTTATACAACCTTTGATTTCTTTTAATAACAGTTGAAGGTCAGATGCCACAGCTCTTCCTGGAAATCCTAAAAAGACTGGGTGGCTCCCCAAGTTAGAAAGGAACTGCCACATCGTATGTTGTGCAACGTACAGCTATTGACTAAGGTATATTATATTACCTCCAACAGCTGACTCAGACCCAGTTGTTATAAAAGGCTTCTCGCACTCCGGCAAGCAGCACGTAGGAGCCCAGCGGGCTGGGGGAGGTCGGAGGGGGGTCAAGGCGATTACTCCCCCCTCCTTCAGCCCCCCAGCACAGGGCTCAGCTGGGTTATGGGAGTTCACACCGAGCTATTGACATTCAGCTGCATTGCTTACTCATTACCGGATCAGCAGGGAACTGTCTGGGTCTGAAAAGTTAACCCTTCCCATGCCCTGATTTTTTATATATAAATTCTATTATTATTATTATTAGTAATAATAATAATAAATAATTTATTTTCTTTTTAAGACTACAAGCCCCTGGGAGACAGGCCTGCAGTAGGGCTGGGTGGGCTGACCTGACCTGTTGGCACCCCACTAGGCTGGGGGCAACATGCTTACATGGGTGCAGAAACCACCTAGGAGGAGAGCAAGAGGCAGGTACCACTGCTGACGCAGCTTCGCTCCCCAGACAAGGGGTGGTAGAAGTAGAAGGAAGGAAAGCGCTGTGCCCCAGGTGAGAATTTGCTCTAAGAAAAGGCAGGAGAAGTGACATCCCCAGTTATTCCTTCATTTCTCACTCCCGTGTTAAGGTGAGCAGGTCTATGGGATACAGCTTGTAAAGCAAAGTGAACTTTTCACTGTGATTCAACACAGGTATCACTCAATTAAGATGCCTGTGCCCACCCTATCTTTCAGTTTTGCAAGTGATTGTGGAATCATTGCAAATCTTGCAATGGCATTTTTTGTTCTAATGATTCACTCCTTGATTATGTGAAAACCTCAGTCTGTTTTTAGGATAAGTTCCAATGCCTGTGGCTTCACCTTTTAGGGCCAATGATCCAGACAAAATATAAAAAGATGCCAAAGTGCCTCGTGGTCCTGTTAAGGCATTACTATGATTTCCTGGTAATGGTGTACTAATTTATGGCTTCTGAAGTTAGAAGTCATCTAATATATCATCATAGCCCACTAAGATATATTAATTTTATTTTTTGGTTTTTTTAAGAACAAAATAAAAATCTTTCCACAGTATAGCAAAAAAATGCTATTTTCCCCGTTCCCATTGAGTCAAAAGCTTCTCTGTAAAGAGAAGCTATATAATTCTATCACAGAGAAGAACAGATGGTGAATAGCAGGTATGTGAAGTGTTCATACTACTCTATTTCACCTTTCACTATAATTATATTGCATGCCAGGTTCCAAATGGAGCATTGAATTCAGACACCAGAATTTGGTGGAGATGAATTTTTCAAAGCTTTAAATGTCAGTTCAATTTCGTAACAATTTGAGTGTAATTTATACATGTCTCAGAACATGCCAGGTACTTAGAGATGCATCAGAAGAGGCAACGGTCTTATCACAGTTTATAATCACAAATGATATTTTCAAATAAGCAGTGAAATATAAGTAAACAAGCAGTGAAGTCTGCTTGCATCTAGCTAATGCCTCCATTAATCTTTATTAGTAATTTCTAGTACTGAGAGCAGGGAAGCTAGGATTTATAGCTCTTTTCAAAGAGGAGCCAATGAAAATTAGATGGATTGGGCCAGTGGATCAGTTCCAGGAACAGGGAAAGAAAAGACAGAATGGGATCTTTGAAAGTGGTGAATGAAGTGTTTCTGCAGATGAAGGAGATACAGAAAGACCCTAAAGTGTGCATGTCCATGAAGGCAAGAAGGGAAGAACTGAAAGGTCAACAAAAGAACTTGAAGACGGATGGGGTTTGATCCAAGTGAAAGGTAAGAAAGAAATGGACTTAAGTAAAACATCAGGAGCCAGAGGAGAACATATCTCTTATCTGTGATATAACTTAAGAAGTGCTGGCATGTTTGTTGGTTGGAGATCATGGAGAAAATATTATTGTATGAATTTTAAGAATGAGTCACGGTGGAAAAAGTTGAATCAGAAAATGTAAGTAAAAAATAGCAGATACATTTTATTTTCAAGCTTAAGAAGCATCAAGGAAGAGAAGGAACTTAAGAAAGTGCATGAGTTTTGCAGTTTGTTACCATGTGGTCTGCTTTCTGCAGAGGGATAGTGAGGAAGTTCAGCTGGCGACAGGCAAGCTGTTAGCAAAGCAGAGTGGAAATGAAGAAGTTAAATTGCTGAGTTTGTAAAGGGTAGTTGAAGATGTGGAAGTGTGTCATGGCATGGAAACAGACGAAAACAAGAAGCGTATGGTGTTTATGAAAGCTGGATAACAGGTGGTTTTCAGGAAGCGAGGGTGTGCAGTCTCTCTAAAACGGAAGGGAGGACAAGTTAGCTGGTGACTTTGCTGGTAATGCCATAAACTGTTTCTGTGGACAAGAGGGAACAGAAAGAAGATTTTTTTTTTTTTGGAGGGGGGGTGGGGTGTGCAGGGAATTGGCTGAGTAGGGCCAGAAGAAGTGGAATTAATTCTTTTTTTTAATTATTTTTTACATGTTTAAGACATATGGAGGCAAAGAAAGGAAGCATATGGAGTAGCACTTGAAAATGGGGCTGGGGTCAGGAGAGATGGTAGGGGAAACAATAACATGTTTCAGAAGCAGAGAAGAGTGGTTGAGGATGTCTCATTGTTTCTTCATGCTTCTCCATCTGTCAATATCCATCTGTTGTTTTTTTGTTGTACACTCAAATGTTAACTCCAGTAACTGTTTAATGTAAAATGGATAATCATGTCTCTGTCTCCCTTTCTCACCAGTTTTTGGAAGGATGTAGAAAACCGTATCTTCCACATAGCACTGGAAGGGTGGGCAAGACCCTCTTGTTCTCTGGAGCCTAGAGCTTGGTGATTAAAGGATGCTGTTCTGGGAAGTGGGAAAGGTCAGATGTGAATCCATAAACCTGAGAAGGCCCCTGAACTTGTGAAGGGCAGACCCTGAAGCCCATCAAAGTGCTTAACTACTGACCTGTTCTATAAAAGGCACTGATATCATCACTAAATCCTAAAGGAAAGGTGTAACAGGGTAATGTACACCAGGAAAAATATTCTCTACCGCCCTGCAGCCTGGTGCTTCGTGCCAAGGATGTCCAAGAGGTATGATGCTGAATAAGCCTGGTCTTGGTGGCTCTCTGCATCTGCTTTTTACTTGGTGCCTTGATTGCTTTGAAACAAACCCTGGGGCATCAAAGTGCTCAGGTAGACAGAGTCTTATGAACCCAGATGCAGAAACAGTATCACCTCTGGCTGTTTATCTCATGCCTTTGCTGTAGGTCACCTTTTGCATTGCAGAGGTGGTTGATGAAAGTGTGTGCTGGCTTTGCAGTCACCTGCTAGCTGAGGGGAAGACGCACCTTTTTGCACTGCTGGAGAGGTAGAGGAGCAGAGCATGCAGAATGGTGATGTATAGCATAGCCTCAGTGTGATCCACTGGAAGCATTTGCCTCTCCCATGTGTTGCAGGAGCAAGGAAAGTACCCTGTTGCTGCTGCCTTGGTTTTTGCTCTGGGAGGAAAGCACTTGCCTACTTTCAGGGATCACTTCACCATGGTAAAGTAAAAGATGTGCCCTCCGTCACCAGCAGCTGTCAATGACCCACAGGGAATATCCACCCTACCAATCATTCTCCCTCTTGGCAAAAAGCAGTGATCATAGCCTGACTGCTTTGCCGAGTAGCAGCAGCAGAGTGGAGCTGAGTCAGCCCCTCCCAGGTCACCGGGAATCAGTCCATGCCTGCTGCATCCCCAATCCACAGTGACGTATCTGTAATTATGATTTTCACTGTTATGTTCGTGATATTAGAATTTGTCTTGCTCTAGCCAAGACTCCTACTCTTCGTTCATGCACAAGCCTGTCATGCTATACTATTACAGTGGAGTCGGGGCCTGATCTGTACTATAATTATAACTGAGTCAGTTACAACAGACTTGTCTCCTGACCTGGTTCCAAAATAGCACTATATTTTTTAAAGCAAAAGGGATTTTAGGTGGATTCTTCAACCATGCAAATACATTATGCTTGTCTTGTATTTAGAAAGGGTTCATTTCTGATAAAGCAAACCTTTTTTTAGCATACGCAGGAAATGGTCCAAACTGGCTGTTCATTAGCATTCGCTAAGTCAGCTTCAAGCACCCTCTCTGAATGTCAGATATTTCCCACTTGCATTCCTACTCCACTTCTTGTGTTTGCTGCTTCCTGGCATCCTTATCATATAATAATGAATCACGCTGGAGTTGAGATGTCAGATTTAGATACAGAGTGGGACTAGTTTGGCCAGTCCTGGGTAATCAGGCCTCTTAGCAGGGAAACGCATTTAAATAGGTCAATGAATCTTACATGTCTGTGCATCAGGAATTATCAGCACTGCAGAACTTGCAGTCAGGGGAGAAATTCGCTTTCAAGCAAAAGTTCACCACTAGCACATTGAACAACATTTAATTTACATTTACATTTAAAATTATATTTTGCTTCATAGACTTTTAGGGGTCTTTGGAATAAAAAATTATTTTTATTTTTATTTGTTTTACTCTTTTTCTTCATATACAATCTAACGTATTTTAAATTAATTGGACAGTCCTGTTAGAGCTAAGAAGACTCTTATCTAATCTCCTGTCTTCCAAAATGCATCTTTATTTTTGCCTCACGTCTTTTCTAGTGATGGAGGTGCTGTGAAGTGTTGCTTTACAAAGCTAATCAAATTGTGACTGTAAAGCTTTATTCTTTGCTTTATTCTTTTAGGTCACTTGTAGGCTATATGTCTGTTCAGGCACTTTCTGGAAGTCCCTAAAGAAGCCAGAAATGTCCAGCAGGTGAATCTCAGCCCTGGAGGTTAACAGTCTGTATCCAGAGATACAGTTTGTACCTAGGAGTGAAGGAAAGGGACAACATGGGACATGAGGGGTGAGAGGTGTAGTGAGGTGTGA